TGTTTTCAAAGAAATGTTTGCTGTGTTTTAATTAATGTAAAATTATCTAGAAAATTCATAAGATTAGCCCCTCTTCATTGTTTTTGAGAAATCAATATAACCTTTATATTATTTCCTATTATTTTTGTAAAAAAATGTATCTATGATATATCTTATACACAATTCTTAAGGTTCCTTTTCTTACAAATCGACTATTGTATTTGAAAAATACTTCTCATGTACACAATAATACTGTAAATAATAATATTTAGAAGCAAGACCGCTTCATTTAATTCATTTTCTTTTCTGATTTGATTTTATAAAGTCTGATGAAAGGCTTAGTATTAAGTAACAAAACGAGAAAATTTATCAAGAATTTTCAATTGGGGAAGTTCCCAGAAAATAAAATTTCATTTTCAGAAAAGTACTAATATATTTAAAAGCATTAAAATAAAAAGGCAATTTAAAACATATATAGACCACTGCACACAGGACAACACACATACGCCGTGTAGTACAGTACCGAGAAGTGAACACGTCTCGACCTGCGCACATTGTCACCTAGCCGCTGGGCGTGATGCCGCCAACTGGAGTTGGCCATATCAAAGCTAGTGCCTGCAATTTGTGTGCATATCCCCATCCAGACATGGCCCGAACAACACCCACAGGCATTTGTTCAAATGTAGGCGGTAGGCAGCAGACGGGAGGCAGCACGCAGGCGTTTGTGGTTCGGCCGCAGTGCATGGTATCTGATTGCATTGTGTGTGGATTGAAAAGCGTTTAAAACGTTTTTGAACCCAACTACGTGATTTGAATTTGTCGTGAGCCACAGTTGTTGGCCACCGAACTGGTCCGAGGGCTATGTCCATTCTTCCAAACAGCTTCACATACACCATGCATACAAAATTGGTTTAATTCAATAAAATTTTCAACAAAGTTGTTTAGTCAGAGGGCGCGACTGTGTGTGTATGTGCACTGGTTTGTTATGGCTGTTCAAGTTATGAGTCAGCAGCATTTGGATTTTGCGTTTTTTCCGCATTTTTCCTTCCCCCAGCAGTTTAATTTGTTTTCCACTTGCCCGGAGGGCCTTTCAGTTTGTTGTTCAAAAGTCTGGAAAGTAATTCTATTAAAAATTGTGTTGGTCGAAGAAGAAAAAAAAACACCCGGTTGATAACATTTGAAGCAAATTTCTGAATTGAAAACAAATCAAATATGATATTCCATTAAACTGATGGATGTGTGCAGAGTTTTATGCATGCATGCGATGCGATGCGATGCAAGACAGGACGAATGATTAATGTGAATTGCTCTAAGAGAGCTTCGAAGTATTCGCAATTTCCATTTTACTCAATTTAATTAAGAGATTCTGAGGACTTGGACTGAGGAGGTTTTTTCTCTCGTCAATTTCTCGTTTAGTCAATATAAGAAAATATTTGAGAAAAAGTATGAGAAAACTGTAGTGCTTTGGCCATTAGTGTAGACAGATTCTCTGTTTCAACTAGAATTAAATTGCTCGTTTTAGCGGAAAATTAATTTTCAAAAATAGTACAAAATAATTAAATAAAGAGTAGACTAAGTGGACTTATTAGTGTAGTAACTAATTACGATAATTATTTATGATTTTAGGAATATTTAAGAGTTTTTGTAAGTCTAAATAATTTAACCTTGGCCAAGAAGATTTAAAATTTAAAGAATTGAGTACATTTTCCTGCCAGAGCAGCTTTTTTCTGATGACATATATATTGCCACTGTCAACATTTTTGTATTTGATAACATGGCTGTTATTGTGGCTGTAATTAAACAGAAATGTTAATTACGACGAAAGCTGTTATATCCATTGTGAATGGTATTGCGAATGAACAGCTGTTCGACGACTGGAAGCGTAATTCAAAGTGCACGCCTATTTGAATGCCTATCAGTTTAACATTTAGGTGCATTTTAAGGAATTTTCACAATTTTTGTCCCGGTTTATCGGTCAATGGTGTTGCAAATAGACAAACAAACACTCATGCACATGCAATTTTACGAGCCAGCTAGCCAGAAAATGACACAACACATTGTCTTTTAATTCGAATCCCAAATTGGGTACCCCAGTGGAGCTGAATACAAAAGTTTGTCCCAAATGTTTCACATTTTACCAAATCGCAACGAAATGCCAAATTAAAGAGAACCTTTGTGTGCACCTGCCTTCATGTTGTTCTTAATAAGAGAAAAACAAACACAGTTGAAATGGAAGAGCTTACAAAGCGCATCAAAAAACGTACATATGTACTTATAAACAAACAAACATACATATAAACTTGCATTGGAACAGTTGTACAGCAGGATGTTATGTTGTATGTAGTCTTTGTAAGAAGCAACTGAGCTATTTTGGTAAGAGCGTGTGTGTGTGTGTGTGTGTGTGTGTGTGTGTGCTTGTACAGCCATGTGCATTTAATTGCATCCCAATAGAGTGTAATGCCGAAGAGTAGCAAGAAAAGAAAATGAAAAGATTGCCTTTGTCCTTGTTTCTCCTTCCTCGGTAGTTGATGAAGAGCAAGTCAAGGCATGGCTATAAACGAGTACGTATATGTATGTAGGTTTGTAAATATGTAAGCAAGTATTTACCTTGCCTTTTTAAAAACTATTCGCCATGCAATAATAAATATTTACATATGATTTTTGCTTTGATGATTTTATTTTCAATTTGTTCTGCAACTAGTAAACTTCTTCGATGAGTTTTCTGAGAATAAATATTTGCATCAATTATAACTTTGTGAAAACTAAATAGTCAATGAATGAGATTGCTTCCTTTGAATGGTAGTTTGCGTTGCTCAACACAAGGTATTCCAAGGTATTGAAGTAGGTTAAATAATACAATAATTATGCACATACTATGATTTAATACAACGTTTTGCTTTTATCAACCAACTTGGGCTTAGCTTAGGCACTAAAATTCGATTTCAATATTTTAAAAATTTGTTTTGAATATTTGAATAGACATAATACTTTTTGCCATTGATTAACTGTAAAAAAAAAACTTTAGACATCACAGAAATAGCTCGTTGCTAAATGGTTATTTCAATTAGTTAATGAGTTCATGAGTTCATTTATCGTCGATGTATCGCGCTCAGAAACATCGGAAAAAATCGAGCTCTCTTTATCCAAACATCGATAGACATTGCTATATCGATTCACCTATCCATACTGATTAAGAATGTATGTAAGTATAGTATATAGTTTATGGGGGTCGGAGATGCTTCCTTCTTCCTGTTACATACCTAATATACCCTTTTTGTCCTTCGGATACAGGGTATAAAAAGTGGTACGCGCTCACTTCATCTTTGTGAAAATTCCATAATAAATAAGTCCATTGCCAACTTAAATAATTCACTTAAGAGCGCGAGTCAAGAACTTGATGCATGCCAAGCGCATCCATACAACGCATAAAACTATCAACAAATTTCAGTAGAATTAAAATATTTATGCAACGTACGTGAGTCTCATGTTTATGTTCCATCAGTTGCACGTTTTTCGCTTTGCAGTATATGTGTGTGTGAGTGTGTGTGTGTGTGGCATTCATTTTTGCAGCATTTGCGTGCATGAGAAATTATGGCAGTCAGCTTAGGGTCAGGACAATACGCACACTAACAAACACACACTTAAGGAGGAGACAGCTGCAGATGCAAGAACACGTTTCATAAATGTGTTATAATTGTGCAAATCTCGTTTATTATTTTAATAAATGTCAACATTTTCTCAACCGACGCAAAGCGCAATTTAAGAAGCATTTACCATGTGGCGTACAGTGCGTATGATTAATGCAAAAAGTCTGCTCTCTTTCAAATGGAAATGAAAATGCTTAAAATGTCGACATGGCAGAAACTTTCCCTCAATTCGAAAATATTTCTGTGGTATCCCACTCAAATTTTTCGACACTAGTGCCTGACTGCCAAATGCAATGACATGATTTATGGTTTTTTAAGAAATGGATATGGGCTGGCGCGTGTAGTGGAAAATGAGTGAGTGTGGAGGGCTAAACGCAGAAAGAATGTTTATGGGCTATCATTTATTTAACTTATGCAGTTTAAGCAGCCCCAAGCGATTTATATGACTGCCAATATTGAATTATATGGTTTTGATGAAGTGTTAGCTTCAAAAATAATAACAAAATGACACTAGAGTGAACAGATTTGTGATGGTACTGGCTTTAAGCCTGTTCTGAACTGAAAAGTTATTAGCAAGCACTAGTATCGATTCATTTTATTATTATCTGTATTATAATTATCATATTTTCTGGCAGTTAAGACCTAACGTTGCTTAGATTCTTGATTTTAAGAAATATAACAAGCAATGAAATGCAAGTCAATTTGTAATGAAAAAGTCTATGGGATAGCAAATTCCGAGCGGAAAATGAATTGCATTTGAGCTTGAAAATGGCAAACTCTATTCAATCGTGTTAATTTTTCAAAAAGTAATAGAAACCGCAACATGCAAGCATATACTGAAATGTGAAAAAAACTTGGATTCACCACAAGCAATACACTATTGCTCGGAAATCAACATTAAAATAATGAACATTATGGTGAACGATTCGTTTGAATGAGAAATAGTTGCACAGATATACTAAATATTCGCGTTCAGCAGGACAAAAAATCCGTCCTTACTCACCCTATGTTTAGTATTTTTATTTTATTTATTTATATTCATTGACTGAAAAATTATATGAATAATATAAAAAAAAGCCTCATAACCTAGGAAAGCCTAAGTAGGAGAAATCTAATCGAATTCCAATAACATCTAATAAACGCCACCGCCCCGGTGGGGGAATATTATTAGCCTTTCGGCTTGCTTTGCTCCGACAGAGAGAAGCTTAAGAATTAATTAAAAGTTTATTATAAAAAAAAAAAAAGAAAATATGGGCAATACCCCAAATTAGACTTCTACCTTTAAAAAAGTATTAGATTTAGTTTTTTTACGAAAGATTTTTTCATTTACTAGCTAGAAAAACACTTTACTACAAAATTTCTTGCATACCATTGTCAGAACGATGATTCGCCTTGAAGACGTTGTAATGCCTCAAAACTCATCCAAAAGACTAAAAACCAAGGTCCACAACGCAGCCAATAGGGTACAAACCCTTTATACATGGCCAATACACCTTCATCTCTGACTAGTTGCTGAAAGCAGATCAAACTGTTCTTGTAGCGTTGTCCACGGCCATGTTCATCAATCGGCTGATTCATCATGCGCGACTTAACCACATCGGCCGGTGAACTAAGGGCAGAGCAAGCAAAGCCTGCAATCATCGATCCCAGAAACTGGATGAGCAAATTGTCCTCACTTTGCAGTAGTTTCATCATTTGTTGTTTGCTGATATCATAGCAAGCAATGCCCCCTAATTGAGTTAATCGTAAGTTTGTGCTTTATTAATGCTGTGGAGTGCTCACCTGCAGAGTAGAGACTGACGCGTATAACGTTTGGCGTAAAGCCTCGCCACAAGCTGCGAATGCCACCCGTGGAGTGAATGAACTTAGCCGACTGAATGATATTGATGGCGCGCGGTGGCAGGCCCAGTAAACGTCTTCTGCTCTCCATTTGCATCTGGAGCTTTATTAGGTCGAGGGGATTACTGCCGACCGTGGAGATAGCGCCGCTGATTAGGCCTGCGACCATGCCACGCATAAATGACAATTCATGTTTGCCTTCTGCATTGACGGTGGAGAATTTCATGCGCAGGTAATCATAGGAGCACAGCTTTACGCCCGCAATGAAAAAATGCCTCACAACAACGGCCGAGAATCCGCCGTAGAGCTTCAGGAAACCCTCCTCTCTAATTACTCCCATTGCCGTGCCGAAGAGACCGCGATATTTACCCACTTTGGCTAGAGGGTTGCTGTGCTCCCCCTGAATCTGTAGACGTGTCTTAGTCACATCCAGTGGATAGACGAAACAATCTGCGCATACGGAGGCTGCAAACGACGTAAACCACATATTTAGGAGTCGTTCCTTGGTGTATACCAATGGGTATGCAGCCCCTTTGAGGCGGCGAAGCTTAGGCCGCTTATCCATTTAAGAAATCCTTGAATATTGGCAGAAAAACATCAAATTTTGGCAAATATCAATCGATTGCTAAAAGGACTCATATAATATAAAATATTGTGTCAGTGATGAAAATAATTTGAGTTCACATGCAAAGTTAAAACAAATGATACTCTTAAAATTTTAAAAAATATTCTTTTATTGTCCAAATAAATAGCTATTGATAGACTTGCTTAACTAGAAAAAGAAGAGCATTAAGTGTGACTTTCCTATACTCAACATTTGTTCTTTAAGATAAGGTGATCGAGCTGTCTTATCTATATCTTAATTGCCGAAATATGTTTTAGTGGAACAGTCATTTAGAAATTGTTTGGAACTTGCTTAACTAGAAAAAGAAGAGCATTAAGTGTGAGTTTCTTATACTCAACATTTGCAATATGCAGTTCTTTAAGATAAGGTGATCGAGCTGTTTAATCTGTATCTATATTGCTGAAATTTGTTTCAGTGGAACAAACATTTAGAAATTGTTTGGAACTTGCTTAACTAGAAAAAGAAGTGTGAGTATACTCAACATTTGTTCTTGAAGATAAGGTGATCGAGCTGTCTTATCTGTATCTTAATTGCCGAAATATGTTTCAGTGGAACAAACATTTAGATATTGTTTGGAATTTTGCAAAATTCCTTGGCAAAACCGTCTATTTTTAAGTTCTTTATGTTTTGTTAATTTTTCATTTATTTATTTGTTTTTGTGCTTGGTTTGAAGAAATGGCATAAATAAAAATTATTTAAAAAAAATGGATTAAGAATAAGAATAAATTTAAAATTGGAACAAATACTATATAGAACATATTTGCTGTTCTTTTATTTGTTAAGCTTTAAGTTTATCTTGTTCATAAACTTTTTTTAAAATAAGATTTCTGGGCTTGCAAAGTTAATTTTGATTTGTGTAGTTAACTTACTAACAGAGATTTTACTCATGAAGATCTTGTTTGTGGTCCTAAATCTGTACATTTTAAATCAACTGCAAATTTTAAATCAACTATGACAATTTAAAGGTGACAAAATGCAACCAAAGCTTATTATTATTCCTACTATTTGCCAAAACTTGCTTTTAGCTTTGCATATTTGCTTGCGCTAATAAAAGCATATTTTTTCTACACCTTTACACAGACACACACACTTACACACAATGACACCAATACCGACACCGACATAGGAACGTTTGGCGTCACAATTTGAATTGAAAAGCTCAGCGATTGACGGGAAAGCGAACTTTTCGGTAACTTTATTGCATCAGTTCGCAGAGCCAATAAAACCAGCAAGTCATTTGCCCTCAGACGCTGCCTAGCCACCATATGCATATCCGCTTCGACTTTGAACTCGCTTACTCGATTGAGCAGACAAAGAACCACTCAGCCAGCAGTGCGTTTCGGCCCCGCAATCCCCTTTCTACCAACCTAATAGCCACTTGCACGGTCTCAGGCAGTCGGCACACCTTTGGCGGTGGCTCTTCGCCCTGTTATACAATTACGGCTATGGCGAAAAAAAAAAGAAAAAGCAGAGAAAGAGTAGTCGGCTATGAGATGCAGTTCCATCAGTAGTTAGCGCCGGCAATTTCGGATGGAGAGGGCGTTACAGGGAGCGGCTGGAGTGTAAAGCTAGGTTGCTGCTCCTAATCCACTTTGGTGGCGTCCTTCGCTTCTTCGTGCGTTCGTTTGAACCGTAAACATTTTAGCTTTTATGACCAAAGGGGCCAAAATATGGCAACTTACACATATGCACACACACACACACACACACACCCCATATACGCACACACGGTGAAAATGCAATTTTCAAAAAGTCGACTCTGCGAACATGAAAATTTGTTGTAGTTTTTAGGCTCTGTCGTTTTAAGCCTGCGCCGTAGTTGGCGCTCAAAAACCGCTTCAAATATTTTCTATACGCAAATGCATATACATACTATATACATATGTATGTATATGTGTGTGTGTGTAAGTGTATGTTTGCATGTATACACATACATACATATTTGTGTATGTTGTTGTGAATGTGTGTCTGTTTTCACATGCCATCGGCAGCCTTTTTGAGAGTTTTTTGAAAACATGTGCAGTATTTTGCAAACCCTTTTAAGCTAGCGATAAAAACCTTTACTTGTCCAAAACGATTTTCGAATTTTATGCCACAAATGTTTTTTCCGTTTGCTCAGCAACTGCAAAAGTGCAGCCTTTTGTATTTTACTAGGAAGCTATATGTGTGTGTAGATTTGTGGTTATTGGTTCGTTTCACTACGTAGGAGCTACAGCATTTTTGTGTTACAGAGAAAGAAGACTTGAATTGGAGCCATTTATATTTCTGAATTCTCAACATCACTTATTTGTAGTGGCTGTCTGAACAATTCAGAAGATTACCACTTATAAATTTAGAATATGAGATATTGTGCAAGGATAAAAATTAAATTCGTAAAAAATATAAAATAGAGGAACTTATTAGTTAGTAGCTTGCCTAATATAAAAGAAATTAACGACAGATCATAGGAAAATTTCATTATGGCCACAAACTACAAGTAAACTGCCGATGTAATTGTTTTATATTATGGAAATTTATATTATCAGAAATTTCACAATTTAAATCCACAAGTTTATTATTTCATTTTTTAGAAATGCCACAATTTAATTCTAGATTTGCCAGCGCTTAGGTGCAGAAATTTGACCATTTTTATTCCGGAATATTTTTATTTAATTTTTCAGAAATTGCACAATTTATTTTTACAATATTATTATTTAATTTTTCGGAAATTGCACAATTTAATTCTCGATTTGCCAGCGCCTAGGTACTAGGTATAAGAATCGCAGATGAAGGCGGCCACTATATTTGAATTTAATTTATCAGAAATTTGACTATTTAATTCCAGAATATCATTATTTATTTTTTTAGAAATTTAACAATTTAATTTTTGATGTGCCAGCGTTTAGGTATGAAAATCGCATAGGATGGCGTCCACATTATTTTAGTTTAATTTATCAGAAATTTCACAACTTAAATCCACAAATTAATTTTTTAATTTTTCAGAAATTTCACAATTTAATTTTTGATTTGCCAGCGCTTAGGTACTTGGTATGAGAACTTATTTATTTATTTTAATTTATCAGAAATTTCACAATTTAAATTCTATAAATTTGTCAGAGATGTTTTCATATCTAACTAAAAATTCAAAAAATAATCTTAAGGGAATTGAAAACTGAATATAGAATGTTGAGTACAATGTATTCTTAGCTAAGGAGAGAACTAGTGAGTATTGATAAAAATTAAAACGTGCATGTACAACCAATTTCAGCAATTGGAAAATATAAATTTAAAATAATAAAGTCCGGAAAGCTAGGCCCAAACTCCTACATAGCTTTGCTGAGATATTTAACTGGAAATGGCTGAAAAGTGCAAAATCACTGGCCTTGTGTCCGGCAGCTACTCACCTACATCTATATTAATCATGATTAATATTATATTTGCTTCGCTTGTCAGCTTTTATGTCACTTTAGGTATAGTACGGTTTGACAAGCACTCTTGCTGTTGCTGTCTATTAATTTTTATTGACATCTCTGTGATGTCAAAGTCGAATTAGCGTTGAAATTGAATTGAAATCAGTATCAATAGCAGCTAATTGAGTTTAAAAGCATGCCTTTCAAGTTGCAATGCATGGACACAATTTAATTTGTAAATTCCTCCTAAAGTAATAAAAATTGTCTGGGCTCATTAGACTTATGACAGAGGCCATTACTGCGTTATTTGAGGTAACGAAGCAAAAAATGCAATGATTCAATTGCTGCGAATTTTTAATCAGAGCTCATGCGTGAACCTGTGCAATCAGGCATACGTAGCAGCAGATGCTGTGGTCAGACATTGAAAAAAAGAGATGCAACAGAATATGCCACTGGCAAAGGCATATAGTATATGTAAGTATATATAGCATGTATGTAGATGTGTGTATGTATATACTATAAAGCAAACCAAACCAATTTTGCGAAATTAATTAAATGGGCATCAAGCAGAACACACAGCATTAATCAAATATGTGGGCATTGGTTTTACGAATTGAGCAGCTAGTCGAAAATGTAAAATACTTTAAAGCTTAAAGCAATCGCCTGCAAATAAACTGCTAGCCGATAATCAGGACAGCGTGTATAAATCAGTTGTGTGAGCACAAAACAGCAGCCATACCGTCCACCCACTTTGATATTTCGTCCTCGACCTCATATACATATAGTACATGTACATACTGGCTAGAGTAATGGCTGAGTGTCTATCTGTATAATCTCTGCATATGGCATGCAACATCAGGCTCGTTCGTCGATTTACATTTGCAGAGCTGATTAAGGATTCACACTTGCCGCACAGTCACTCACACTTATCGACATTCATGTGACATGCTCATAAATAATTTATGCTTCAATGTCCCGTCATCAAAATTTGCAAGTTTATCGACTGAGTGCTTGGTTTGCCAACTTACATATAATTTGTGAAATGATTTTCCTCGCCTCCGCCTCCGCCTCCGCCACCCCAACTCCCAGCCGAAAGTCTAGTTTCGCATCAATTGGCAATTAATGCCTCAATCAGACTGTAACCTTGCACCTAAGTGAGCAAAAAGTGCCCTCTGCGAGCTCATTAATAACCGCAGCACACCCCACAAACACGACCTCATACATCACTCATACGTCAAGTTGGCTAATCTATCCATCACAGGCCTTTCGGCGCCGTAAGTACGTGTACATACGTACAGGCCCACTAAGGTTGAGTCCCCAGCACGTCTTGTGTTTGACAACGTATCACTTTTGAGGGTGTAAAATGTCTAATCTACGTCTGTTTGTTGGGTGCAACCGACAGCACCCCGTGTCAGGGGGGTTGTGTGATGATATCAATCATCATATTAAGTTGGTATTTAAAAGGGCCTAGTATTTTTATGCTGGAGCATGCGATTAAGCTTAATGGCCCTAAATGTATATAAAGGGTGTGTGAAAGGAGTCAACATTAAAGAAAATGTCTGCGCTGGCTTCACAAACTCTGTCTTTAGTCTTCAGCCAGGCATTGTAAAGAGTTGGCTTATCTATATACTCA